CACATAAAATAAGAAGCCCCCCTGTTCCCTGCCCCCCCACACACAAAATAAGAAGCCCCCCTGTCCCCTGCCCCCCACCATCTAAAGTAAAACAATGAAGCCCCCTCACCTGCTTGTCTTTCTGCAGGCACGAGGCGAGCAGGCAGATCCCTGGTAATCTAGTGTGATTACTAAGGTCTGCTGCAGACCTTACTAATCATTTCTTTTTAGACCCGGAGCTCAGTGAAGATCTGCGGCTGAAAGAACAGAGAGCCCAGCAGGAGCAGCTGCTCGCACGAGTCAGGTACGCGGTCTGTGACCACAAGCCTGACTGAATTTGCACTCGCCTGCACTGCATTTCCACTCGCCAAATGCAAGCAGGCGAGTGGAAATTTTGAGCCCTGATCTAGTGTTTTGTAGACTTGTGGTCTGCATCTGTCTGGTGGTCTGCAACTGTCCATTTTTGTATTTTTCCAGGTCGGGCTCCCTGAAGACATGGTAAAGCGATGTGTACAGCAGCTTGGACTGGCTTTGGACTTTATGCACAGCAAGAGTCTGGTACATCGTGATATCAAACCAGAGAATGTTCTTCTCTTTGACCGCGAATGTCGGCGGGTTAAGCTAGCTGACTTTGGCATGACTCGTAAAGTGGGTTGCCGTGTGAAGAGAGTGAGTGGCACCATCCCTTACACAGCACCCGAGGTGTGCCAGGCTGGCCGATCAGAAGGTTTTCCAGTAGAGACTAGCTTGGACGTCTGGGCCTTTGGAGTACTTATCTTCTGCGTCCTCACTGGCAACTTTCCCTGGGAGTCAGCCTCACCGGGAGATGCCTTCTTTGAGGAGTTTGTGCACTGGCAGAAGGGTCGTCTGCCCGGTCTTCCGTCCCAGTGGCGACGGTTTTCAGATAACGCCCTACGAATGTTCCAACGGCTTCTTGCGTTAGAGTCAGAAAAAAGGAGCCCGGTCAAGGAGGTCTTCTACTACATCAAGTATGACTTGCTCTCAGAAGCTAGACGTAGACCTTCCTACCGAACACGCAAGCAACCAGGAGAAAAGTTACCCTCTGTGCCCCAGCGGCATGACAACCCTACTCCTCTCAAGAGAACAATACTCACAGAGGGAGGTTCTTCACCTCGTGTGCCACACTCCCTGCCAGATCCAGGCCAGCCATCCGCTGCCTCTGGCAGGACAGATGGACGACAGGACAAGAGCAAAGCTCAGATGCTGCTGGCAACTGCCATTGAAATCTGTGTGTAATATGGACACACATTTGGATTCTTCTTTATTGGAAAGTGATGTCATTGTCTCCAGTAAAGGTCACCTGCTGACGTAAGACATAAAACAGGTTTGACCTCTTAGCGTTTATTGATCATGAGCCTACAAGCAAAAAAACAACAACAACAATAATAATAATAATAAGTTGACATGATAATGACTTGCTGATCAAACTGATGTGGTTAATGTTCGAGTGGAATGGGAGGAATAGAGTAGCTTTTGATCAAACCTTGGAAGGATCGATAGGGTTCGTTACTGTGTGTTGTTCCTGTCTATGGTTTTATAGATCAGAATCTTTATACTACAGTTCGGTGGTGGTCACTGCAAGTACCAGATTTCAGAAAACTTGTGCAGGGCGGACAAGCTTGCCCCCTTACTGTAGGCAACCAAACCCTACAGTACACCCATTTCTACAAATGACACAACACAAGCCGAGCTAGTGCAATCCTTCCTCATATAAACTACCCATTTTACTGTTACATGTAAATTCAATATCCGACTTAGTCCAAATGATTTCTGTCCAACAAAAGGATAGCATCCTAAACCTAGGGTTCCATACCTAGAGTATGTTTGTTTAAACTGGTGCACACTACAGCTAGAGTAACTAACCAATAGGAAGTCTCAATTCATGCTTTTAGCAAGAACGCATTGATCCTACTACCATTTTGACTTTTTTAAGACAGTTGTTCAAAAGCAAAAGTCTCAACAGTATGCAACAGTATGCCATCTGATCAATTCTTGTCAAGAAAGTCCTACATTCACCATCAAATCAATTCTTAGACTTGCCCTTATTTGCGTACTGCTTACACGGGCCAAAGAAAGCAAAATGATGCGTCATGGCCAACACTTAAATGGTCAGGCCAACCAATGCTGATATTTCAGTTTAGGACTACGGATTCTTAGCTCCATCCACCACTCATGGCCAGTATGAAAGGGCCTCATTCGCCTTGATTTTTAATTTTTGTTTATGCTATTTAATGGAAAGTGTTGCAACAAGAGATTTTGCTTGTTGGTTTGCATTGGTCACGGTGTTATTTGAAGCTAGGCAGATGTCTTCTCTGGAGACTACATGACATATACGGATCAAGTTGGCCATTTAGGTTTTTAATTTAAAATATGCTTCCACTTTATCCAAAAATCATTGTTTTTAAAGAATCTGGTAATATGCCTCTCTTCATTTCCCTCCGTTTTATCTTATGGTGTGTCACTGATAGAGCGAAAGGTTCAGACATATATATCATATATCATCAAAGCGTTGCTTTAGTAATCAATAGTGAGTCCACTGAGTTGGTAAGCTGAGGGTATATTCCTTCAGATGGTCCATTTTATGGTGGACCAAGTGTAGTGCAATTGGTCATCAGTATACCAAATATGGCCATGAGTGGGTGAAGCTTGGACAGGTTGGGTGGAGCTTATGGATTTGTTTTTCCGATTGAAATTAAAGGAGTAATAATCCTCTCTTGCCTTTCTTAGTATCTTTAAACTATAGGATTTTATCATTGTTGGCTGTGCACCAGTTTTAACAAATGTTCCCATCTTTAAAAAGCATATTTCTTCTTCGTTCAACCTTTCGAACAAAAAAAAGGGCTTGCATTGCGATACAATATCGAGTTCTTAGTGGCTGTACCAGGGTATTCTCTTCACATAAGAGACTAGTCCATTGATTTTTATTTATTTTTCAAAATGTCACATTTTACATTCCTTTCATTGCACCGTCTTACAATGGCTGGTTTTAATTTTATTAGATCTGCTTGTCTGAAAAAACTAAACTTGAAATGTATGACTTTTGTTCATCAAAGTGTATGAAGATAAAAAGTGTTCCTTTTGCCATGGCAACCAGTCAGATGTTGCTGTGGGCAACAAGAACAGTTTCTTTTTCAGACGCTTTGAGAACATTGGAGGCAAATGCAAACTGGAGTTGTGCGACTTGTTGTCATCATCTGTTTTGGCAAAGGGAATCCTTACCAATGAAGACTCATGTTTTAACCCCAAGCGACAGGATATCTTTTTTCAAGTATGTCAGGTCCATTGCAATTGGTGCCCTGGCAGCCTGGTGTGCAGGAGGCGGATTGGCTCAGAGGAGTGTCAAATTAACGCTTATTGGCTAAGACAGTTTCCATGGAAACTCAGACCTGGCATAATATTCATAGAGCTCTAGAATTATCCTCTACTATTAGAATAGGTATTTCATTTGGATCTATTCGTTATTGCGATCCAAAAAGAAAGAGATTGGCCATCTTTGAACCATCTTCTGTCCTAGAAAGTAGATAATTGTCGATGGCCCATCAGCAAATCAGCACTACAAGTCCCAAAATGAACTTCCAACTTGATTGGCAATGGTGGAACAGATGGAGGACTGCAGTGGGTTTAAAGGGCCAGTCCACCCAACAACAGGGTGGCCTGAGTATCCCATTGGCTTATATGTCTAGAGAATTTCAGTGGTAGGATCTCCTTGTCAGAGCATCAAGCTCAGAATCCCTCACCACGAAGTCTTGTTCTTTCTTGTGCAGCAGGAGGAGTCTCATTCCTAATGTTGCGTTGTGTGTAATGAAACACAATTAAATATTTCCAACTGGGAGTTGAAGTCTCCCTTGCCATGGGTTGAGCAGAGAGCTTGCACCAGAGTCCCTAAAGTGCAACTAAAACCAATTTTATGTTAGTTTTAGTTTTGCATACAGTGCAGAGGGATTAGAACACCTGTGATGTTTTTCTTGCTGTCTGTGTCCCCATACGGGAGACTCACTCTCACCTTCTGTGCTGGTGACCATTTTTCAAAGTGAAGGAAAATCCCAAATTTTGTGATATCACCAGAATAGGAATAGATGGGAAATCTTTCAATAGGTATGATAGGTCAGCTGACCACCAGGGATTCCTTCTCTTTTCTCTTACTTCCTATTGTGGCTATCAGACAGGAAGTGAAGAGAAATATCCCCAATGGGACACAGATGGCAAACCAAAGCTGACAGGTGTTATAACCCGACCTTACTCTATCCAAAATTTAGGAAAAAGTTTTGTCTTCAGTTCTACTTTAACAGATATCTAAAGTCTGTAGGTGATTCAGCCTATCAGCATTAACCTCCAAACAAAAATCCCTTTAAATCATGAGAACAAGAGCACATTTTAACAATTTAAATATATCATCCCAAAATCTACAGCTTTATTTGGCTCTCTTTTTTAAAATTTGAGTTTGCAGGTTGATGATAGCAGCATACATGGCGTACTATATAGTGCTGGAACCCTGCAAAAATGACCAGGCTTGGAAAACAATTCCCTGTACAGGATTAGGTAGGTCATACACTGTATATTAGTGAGTCTTTTATGGGGACAGACTGAAAAGTTATATTCAGCTCAGCAGTACTGCTTATCAAACTTTGCAAAGTTCCTCCGGTGAACTCCTCTTCCTACTGCTATTGTCTCACTGGGTATCATAGGGTTTCCTGTAGATGCCAATGGAGGTGCAAGCAGCAGAGGTTTGCCAGAGGAACTACATGGTGCTTATTCTAAACAGGTGCTTAATGTATACAGTCGAGCTACCGACATAATTATGACTTTAGTCACAGCCTGTCTCCATAACCCCGCACTCAGAACCAAATGACAGGTCTATTCTAACTTTGTAATTCTGTGCGGATGGTTTTCTTATTCCGGACGCCATATGTTTACCAAAAAAAAATGTTAATTCTGTTCAGCCAGTTTTCTAATTTACTCAACCCTAATGGACACCCTACAAAGTCCTGACAGTATACTGGGTGGGTGCAATACAGTCGTGTTAGGAATCTGTCTCCTTTGTGTGTGTGTCCCCTTCTCTGTAGGATTAAATCCTCTCACTTGTTGGGTATCCGGTCTCTCTAAAGATTCCAATGCTATCTCACCGGCGCTGTCTCGATCAATCTAGTTCATCACCTAAAAAAAAAAGTGAAGGAGGCCATTTTGTGCATTGAGCCATACCAACCCATTCAGCTGGTGTCACCGGTTCTCGGAGAACCGATTCGTTCATTTAACCTGGCTTCATAGAACAAAATGTCCGCCTCCACTTTGCGCCCGCTTTCGGGGCTATCACTTTAACAGTCAGTATATCAGGGTATGTAGCACACGTAAACGGGCTGGTAACAAGTACTTCAGATAAGTAAACTAAACCTAAAAGCAGAGCGTATATACAGAGGGGCTCTTCCATCCTATTAACCTTTATTCTAGCTCTTTCCTTCTTTGTTTGGTGTTTCAGGCCATACAAGAAGGTGATATTTACTTTGGTGGCCTTCCTTAGAGGAAATCAAAAAATAGCTTCCTCCATTATTAAAGGATATCTTAACCTAAAAACAATACTTTTATTTTAAAGAGTTTACAGCAGGGGCGTCCCTGTCAGCGTCCATCTTGATGATGGACGCTGGCAGAGAGAGGAGGGGACATTCACACGGCCGCCGGGTCCCTCCTCTCTCGTGCAAATGTCGGGCTCTTGGTTCATGACTGAGCGCCCGGTTTTTCAGAGGGGGTGACACCAAAATGACTCTCAGTCATTTTGGTGTCGCCCCTCCAATGGTGTCACCCGGGTGACATCCCTGGTTTATAGCATTATGGGAAAAGAACATTGCAGTACAGGAGCCTTCCGCCAGGTCTACTCTATACATCAGTAGTAACATCATATGGAAGTATAAAGAATAAAAGGAACCTAGAGATAAAAAAAAATCCATATAAATCAGGTTTGCTAGGATGCATAGTCCAGCATGAGACCCACATGTTACTACAAAATCCCTTGGAGGATGAGCAGTTCCCCCACTGAGATAAGATAGTCAAGGTATAAGAGGGGGGGCGGGGTAGGAGAAGGGAGGAACCAAATTAAAATTGAATGGATTGCAGCTTACCAGTCCTTAGATGTGGTGCTGACATTAGATTTCTTATTCCAGGCTTAGAACGTTTTCAGCAAGTACAGAAAAGTAACTTTATAACGCCAGAATTGTGGCGTCTTTGCCACTTCCTGTGTACTGAACTGATATATCGAACAAGGTTATCAGTTTTCCAAGCTGCCGTCTCTGAACTACAAAAGAAGGCCTCACTATGTAATGGAGATGAGGAGCAGAGGATGGCTTCATAGTCCAAAGCAGGAGAGCTGCCTAGAATGACAACCATGACTCCCTCCATAGATATAGTGGAGTGAATGAACGTTGTCACCCTAGGACAGGAAGTGTGCTGTTGGCAGGATTACC